CTCAGCGGGAGAGCTCCTTGCTGCTGAAGCCTTACAACCCAGGTTCTGTCCCTGGGTCCCACATGCTGAAAGGAGAGAACCTACTCAAAAAGAGAGGCATAGTGACATATGCCTGTCGTCTCAGCACCCAAGGCAGAGGCAGCAGGATTCCAAATTCATAGCCAGCCTGAATTACATCATGAGACTGCAGAGAAGGAGGGGAAAGGGGAAGAAAGGGAAAGAAACTGGAATCTCCTTCAAAGGCATGGCCCTGTGACCTAAGACCTCCCACGAGGCCACGCCTCTCCAGGGTTCCATCGCCTGACAGTAGCACCTGGCTGAGGACTAAGCCTCCAATCCATACTAAACTTTTGGGGTCATTCCAGAACCACAGCTGGAATAGTGTGTGGAGATCCCTGCACAGGAGCTGAGATGGAAATAAGGAAGGTGACTAGGAAACCCTGGTCCACAAATGTTGGAGGAGGGAAGGCCAAGCTTGCTGCCTAACCTGGGGGTCAGGAGAGCCTCACCCTAGGCATCCAGGAACAAGTGCAGCCCTCGCACCCAGCCCCCGTGACCGTGCCTGCTTCAAAGGATTTCAATAAGAACCAAAATCCAGGTCACTAACCTACAGATAACCCCAAAAGATTGGGCTTCAGCATAGTGATTATGGAATTGTGATACCTCGTCAGGCACTTCCCTGTAAACAAAGGAGCTGCAGTGAGCTGGTGAAGTAGTAAGCTAGAGGCTTGGGGCCTCACTTCCTGCCTCTGCAGCCCCTCAGCATTCTCCCTGGGGACTGAGCTCACCCTGGGCCTCAGACAAGCTGTTGCACATCCTGAACCTCAGTGCCTATATTAGTTACTTTTCTGTTGCCATGATAAAACACCATTACCAAGGCAACTTATGGAAGGAAGTGGATTTGGCTTCCAGTTCTGGAGGGCTAAGCGTCCATCATAGTGTGGCATGGCGGCAGAGGCAGAGGTACAAGGAACAGAGGCTGAGGGCTACCATCTTTAAACAGCTCAGGAAGCTCACAAAGAGTAGCTGGAAATGGGACGGGTCTATGAACCCTCAGAGCCACTGGTGTGCTGCTTCCTCCAGGAAGTCCACACCTCCTAAAACTTCCATGTCTTTCCCCAAACAGTGCTACCAACCTGCCAAGTGTTCAAGTTCTTTGAGCATATGGGGAACCCTCAAACCACCACAGTGTCCTTACTGGTCTAGTGGACAGATCAGACTAGAGAGCTCCTTCCCCAGTTGCTAGAGGAACAGGCCTTAGGAGTGGTCTCTGGCGTAGATGCAGCATGGCTTCTTCAAAGGGTCTTGTTCACTGAGATACAAAGGCACGCTCTGCAGTCTGTTTGGGTCCCTTCCTACTGTTTTTCCTGTTACCACAGAATATCCTTGACTTAAACTGTAAAGGGAAGTTAATAGCTCAAGGACTTGAAAACCCCAGAACTGGCCTGACTAGAGTCATCATTCAAGTATTCTTACCAAGAACTTGCCTCCAGGATGGCAAGTTAAGCCCTGGCTGGTCCCTGTCTACCATTTCATCTCAGTGGCAAAATTCCCAGAGTCCCTGGGACCACAGCTCTCCAAGAACAAGTCCTGTGATGGAGGGGACTCATTTGTCCCTGCCAGGATATGGCTACCCCTACCATTCTTTTTCTGGGACTCTGTTCATGTTCCAAACCTGTGCAAAGTGAGATGCTCAGCCTGATGAATGGACCAGGGCTGTGGACGTGCAGGGCTGCTGAGACACCTCCAAGGACCTCCTCCCCTCCCAGGCAGTCTAAGGAAGCTCAGGATCTTGGCTCTGGTTGAACTTGCCCTGTAGCCCTCCTTCACTGCTATTTCTAGGGCAGCCTCTCATTTTTCTGTTCACTGTGTGAGTGACCCCAGGCAGATGGGCCTCCACAGCTTCTTACTGGGCACAGGTTCCTGGCCTGTTACCACAGGTGCCCTTAAAAAACCATTTGCAGCTAGGCTCAGGGGTGCCCTCCTGGAGTCCCAACACAAAGCAGGAGGATTCTGAATTCAGGCCAACTTGTGCTACATAGTGAGAGCCTATCTAAAAAGAAAAACAAAAACAAAAACCATGCACCACTTTGGAGGAAGGGAAAAAAATTAGAGTGGCAGAAAAGTAATTTTCGTTGCAATTTAAAAGGCCCTATTAAAATTTTACAAGAGCTTTATTACAGGGGCTTCCTGATCATCCCAGGAATTTATTTATGGGAAGTCTGATGGTGATAAAGGAAAGCAGTCTGAGTTCTTCTGATTCCCTCCTGCCCTGCCGAACATCTTGAGAGTCAAAACTGTTAGGGCTTCATAGGCCAGCTGAGGAATGGCAAGAACCCAAGGGGCTGCTCCTCTCTTTTGAAGTATGTGTTTTCCTGTAGTTGCTGTTTCTATGTATAGTGACTGTTCCTAATTTTATTTGCTACTTCCCTAAATGGCCTGGTAGTGAGCTCTGGGAATCAGTAAGAACAGCAGCCTCTGCTCTTCTCTGTTAGTTGGGAGCCATTTGGTTGTATGAACAAATAGAAATTAAGGCCGTCCTACTTATGTAAAAGAGGGAATGCACAGGCTCAGCCTGGGAGAGCTGGCTAACAGTGACATCAGGAATGGCGGGATCCAGGGCCTTATTGAGGTTGCCGGGGTGCTATCTCCCCCCAGCCCCCCAACCCAACTCTGCATTGGTCTGTGTTGTTGTTGTTGTTGTTTTTCCTCAGGGAAGGGGCAGGAGGCAGCCCCTGGCAGCTTCATGAGTAGATGTAAGGCCAGATCTATAATTGGCCTGCTGGGACCACAGCTCTCCAACAGCCAGTCCCTGTGATGGACAAGAGAAGGCTGTCAGCCCATTTGTCCCTGCCAGGATGTGGCTACCCCTACCATTCTTTTTCTGGGATTCTGTTCTTGTTCCAAACCTGTGCAAAGTGAGGTGCTCAGTCTGTGATGGATGGATCAGGGCCATGGGCATGCAGAGCTGCTGAGGCACCTCCAACGACATCCCCCCATCCTACCCCAAGCAGTCTCAGGAAGCTCTGGGTCTTGGCGCTGGTTGAACTTGCCCTTTAGGCCTCCTTCACTGGCATTTCCAGGGCAGCCTCTCAGCCTATTCACTGTGTACTCGCCCCAGGCAGATGTGCTCCTTTGCACTATGCATCCCTTTGCACAAAGTTGCTTCACCTGTCCTGGGGCTGGTGGTTATTGCTCAGCTCACCTCACCTGGCTCCCCAACCAGGAACAGGGAAAGTGGTGCCGAGACTTCATCACCAGGGCAGGTGGGTCACACTCCAGTCTCGCCCCCACCCCAGCCCATGATGCAGTCATTCACATGGGTATTCTGTGTACTGAGCTGAGAAGGCATGGCTCTGAGTGCAGACCCAGGGAGGGAGGTGTCTGGGTGGTCAACCAGGACCTCGTCCCGTACTCTGTTCCCAAGGCTCAATCGGAATCTGCCCAGCATGCCCCACTACCTGCCTCCTCTCCTCCTGGAACCTGCGTCACTTTTGCTTCTCCCCAGACTTAGTGTGAGAAGTTTTGCTTCTGGGGTTCGTGTGTGTGTGTGTGTGTGTGTGTGTGTGTGTGTGTGTGTGTGTGGTTTTGGTGCTCAGAATGGAACCTAGGGCCTTGTATATACTAGGCAGGTGCTCTACCACTGAGCCACACCCCAACCCCTCACTGGTGGGTTCTAGGTAGGTGCTCTACCACTGAGCCACACCCTAGTCCCTCACTGGTGGGTTCTAGGCAGGTGCTCTACCACTGAGCCCCCTTTGTCCTAGTTTACGGGTTTTTAATCTTGGGTCTGTGAACCCTTGAAAGATGGACACTTAAAGGATCATGAAGTTGGCTGGGAAAAAGTTACATGTCCTTTCTGTAGCGTACTTCTGAATTGCTGTCCTTGCTGTGCACACCACTAGGTCTCATCATTTAAAGCACCGATCAAGACGCGTGGATGCGGCCAGCACGGTGGTGCACAGCTGTAATCCCAGCACTCAGACTATATTTGAGGCCAGCCTAAGCTGCAGAGTGAGGCTTTATCACACACAGACAGAAAAGGAAGAAATTAAATGAAAAAGGAAAGCAAGTGTGCACAGGTTTCCTTATTTCTGACTTGGTTTTGTTTTAGGTATTTTGATTTCTGACTATGATTGGTTTCTTTTGTTATCTTGCACATTCATTCAGTGTGGACGGTTGTGGGTTGTCCTTTTAGATCTTGTGGCCCAGGGCTAGCCTAATGCTGGTCCCTATCACTTCTTAGCCTTGGGCTACTGAAATGACTTAGCAGGTAAAGCCCTGATTGATGACCTGAATTTGATCCCCTGAGTTACACCCACATAAAGGTGGAAGGAAAGAACTGACTCCTGAAAGCTTTGTCTGATATCCACACATACATCCATGGCACGTGCCCCTCCCATTATATACACATTTAAAAAATATCCATTCAAGCTATACAACCATACCAATATCCGTGCACCTTGAGTTATGTCAGAAAAATCCCATTTGTCTGTCATTCCTCTGCATAGAGCTCTCTGAAATAATGTTCCTGAGGTGGCCCTTCATGTGTCCCATGCTTCCATGCCTTCCATTCCATTGCTTGTCCTCACTCACATGGTGCCAGCCACTCTGGCCGCTGACCTCCCAAAGTGTTCCTCGTACACATGTGCCCAGAGCCCCTCCACCTCAGGGCCTTTGCACTGGTTGTTCCTGTGGCCTGTAAGCTTTCTCCAGTAGTCTTAGTTTGTGATCTAACCTATTCAGGTGTCTTTCCTCTCCTGAGACTTCCTCAGCATCCTGTGATGTAGTAGCCCCATCACCATCTTCTGACAACCCTTGGCCTTGTGTTATGTGCTTATTTACCCTCCCCCTACTCCACCAGAAAGTCTGTTCCCCAAAGACAGAGAGACAGAAACTGTCCTGCCATTGGTGTATCCTCAGTGTTTGTGGAGACTTACAGCAGGAACACTCCAGGCTAGCTGGCCAGAGGCATGACCTCTTCATTTCCTTCTCCATAGATGCACCGTCTTTGACCTTGGCTCTCGTGGGACCCTCAAGGTATACCAGTGTCCGGAGCATACTGAGGGTGAGTACTGTGGCTGTTGGTTTCAATTTTATAGCGAATACACATCGTATTTTTATTAGTTCAAAAAATAAATGCAAAGAATATCAGAGAAAAGAGCTGGTCCCTTCACTGCCCACCAATAACCTGAAGGCATCCTGTCCTGTTCTCCCTCAGAGGTCGCTTCCTTGACTAGTGTCCTGATACCCACTTCCCCACACAGCATTCCTCTCATGCATGTGCCCACTTTGCTGTTTAAGAAAAAAGAGCTATGTATACAGATGCTTGGAACATCCTCAATGTTGATGAGCCGCAGAGATGTGTTCATGAGCATACAGTTGTGCTTGGTGTTTTCGTTGGGTTTTTTGCTGTTTTAATTCAATTTAATGTTTCATGTAGAATCAACTCTACTCTGTTGTAGTTTAAGTTCCAACAAAGGAGTCCATGTAGGGAAGACAGAACATCGTCACCCCCACCTGCTGCAGTGTAGCTCTTTATGCATACACAAAACATGTACATGTGGCAAATACTTAGCTGGGTGTATGCATTGTAAGTGGGTTATATTGGGGGGAATTTGGTGTGGGTTTTTTTTTTGCTAGGAAACATCATCTTTCGTGTCTGTTTAATGGATTCTAGGCAGTGAAATCGGTTTTGGGACATGTGTCCTTTTGTTTCCTAACAAGGCATTCCCAAATGTGGTTGCCAGCTTTTGTTGTAGGGTGCTGGGGAGGGTGTTGTCTGGTTCCTGAAGGACTGGAGATCCTAATGATGTGGGCGAAGGGAGATCTGGATGCAGGAAGCAATGCCAACTGATTTATAGGGACTGGCAGTTGAGCTATGGGTCATCAGTGAATCCAGGGGAACTGGGTGGGTCTCCTCAGAGCTTTTTGTCTTGCTAAAGCTGGGCTGGAACCCCGAAGTTTGTTTGTGGGGATGGTCTCTGGGGTCAGAGACTGCTTCTTGACATAATTCTTTGTTAGCTCTTTGAGTTTAAAAAAAGCTTTTTACAGGCTGGAGAGACGGCTCAGTGGTTAAGAGCACATGCTGCTCTTCCAGAGGACCTGAGTTCAGTTCCAGCACCCATGTCAGGTAGCTCTGCTCACAGCAGCTTGGAATTCCAGCACTGCACCCACGTGCACAAAGCCACACATGGGCATACACATATACACATAATTTTAAAGAAATAATTAAAATTTTAAAAACCTTAAAGCTTTTCATATTTGTGTGTGTATATGTCTGTGTCTATGTCTGTGTGTCTGTGTGTACCATGGCACACATGTGGAAATTAGAGCACAGCTCTTAGGAGTTGGTTCTCTCCTTGTACCAGGTGGAGTTCCAGGAATTGAACTCAGCTCATCAGACTTTGTGGCAAGTACCTTTACCCACTGAGCCATCTTACCAGCCCAGCTTTTTCATTTTTCATCATTTCATAATTATAAAAGTTGCCAAAATGCTATAGAGTTCCCACATCTGTCCTTCACGCAGCTTTCTCTAATGGTACCAAGTTCAGTGGCACCATGATCAAAACCAGGAAGTTGGCACTGGTTCATTACCATTAGACTACCATTAATTTCTATGGACTACAAATTAAGCTTTAATCTAGCACATTCTTTTAAATGTGGTAAAAACTTGCGAATTCTTCATGAATCCTAGCATGAATCCTAGCGTGGCCTCTCACTGCAGGAGCCGAGACACCTTTCCCATGTGGGGGCTGAAGGAAGGCGCTGAGGTTTCCTTTGCTCATTTGTTTCATTTGCCTCACAGATATGCATGTCAGCACCTCATTTAGAATGGGGGAGGGTCAGCGAGAGCCAAACAAAATCCTTCCCTAAGGGAGCCGGTGTTCTACTGCAGGACAGAACACTCAAGACAGGAAAAGTGAACCAAGGCCAAGTCTGATGGGAAGGAGTTGTGGAGAGGTGGTAGAGATGAAGCAGGCAGGGCCCGGCATGGCATGATGCACGCCTGTCCTCCCCTTACTGGGGAGGCAAAGGCAAGAGAATCACCTCACAGTTAAGGCCAGCCTAGACTACTTAGTGAGTTCCAGGCCAGCCTGGGCTTAAAGAGGGATTCCCTGCCTTGAAAAACAAAACAAAACAACACAACAGGCAAACAAACAAAAAAAAATAAGATTTTGAGCATGGCATGATGACGCATGCCTATAGTCCCAGCACTTGGTAGGCTGAGGCAGGAGGATCTTCAATGGGAGGGCACCCTGAGCTAAATAGACTCTATCTTAAAAAGAAGATAAGGGAAAATAAAAGGAAAAAGATATGAAAGCTGGGGAGGTGGCTGACAGCCCACTTGCCTAGCGTTCACGGGGCCCTAGGTTCTAGCCCTAGTGCCCGCAATAGATAGGATAGCCTAGCCTAGCCTAGCCTAGCGCAGCGCAGCACAGCACAGGAAGAAAGGGATGTTGAGTCACAAGGGGGTACTTTAAGCAAGGTGATCAAGTAAGGCCTCTCTGAAGGGGCTCTGAACAAGGTATTACACCCAGTTCTTCCACTGACCACTCCCAGCTGGGAGATCACAGACAAATCATGTCACTTCTGAACAGAGTTTTGGGAATCGTGGAAAACTGGAAGATGTGTTCTCTCTCCAAGGGGCAGCCTATATATAGATCATCAGTACCCTGTACAAAATGCTACATTTTGTCAGATCTTATATTTTACCCCCACTAGAAGAGAAAATGATAAATTCTTACTAGTTCATCCAACCAAAACTGTGCTTTATCAGATGATTTTCAGTGGCACATGAAGGGGTTTTTGTATATATATATAATCTTTTACTGAAATTTTGTGTATTTCATACATAAAATCATCTTTCTACCCCCTTCCCCTTTGGCACCCCTCCGTATCCCCCCACTGGAGTTCATAGATCCTGTCATTTGTGTTAAGGCCTATCATGTAAAGTTAGTGTCCCGAGATGTCCCTCAGTGCAGGTTCATCCCCTGGGATTTAGTCAGCCTATCTATAGTCTCTCCCTTCAAGAAGATCATCTCTTCCTCACCCAGCAGTAATCAGCTGTCAATAATTCTTCGACTAAGATTGGGGCTTGCTGTCCATTTCCACAGTTCTGTGCTGGGTTTTTATCTGCCTAAGTCTGCATGGGTCTTACGTATGCTGGCACCATTGGTGTAGGTTTGTATGAGAAGGGTCCCAGGCACCTGTAGGATTATTTTCATATGGTCATGCACCTCCTTCCTGGCTCTTACAGTCTTTCCACCCCCTCTTCCACAATGGTCCCTGAGCCCTGGGTGGGTGGACCTTAATATAGGAGACCTGTGCAAGGACCCACACTCTGCCGACTCTTATTCTCTGCATTTTGGCCATTTGTGGCCTTTTGTGATCCTGGTTCTCTGTTGCATAAGGGAGCTTCATTGATGAGAACTGAAAGATGCATTAGTGTTCTCTTCATCCCTTGTTCTGTGTTCTGTGAGTCTTAGGCGTAGAGGTTGCATCCTAGGTGTGTCACTTAGGCTTGGGTAATTCACAGAGAATCTCTGTGTGGCCAGTGGTGTAACTGTAATAATCTCTGACTGGGATACTTGTCTGTAAATTTAAGGATCCATATTTTGCACATAGTAAGAAATTGCATTTGTGTAGGGATATGAGAGCCTTGGGTTTTCTCTAAGATCTATGACCTCTCCAGCTATGTGTATTTGACTAAGTTTAACAGTACCAGACATGAGTTTCCTCCCATTGAGTGGGCTTTTTTTTTTTTTGTCTTTTTAAGACAGGGTCTCCCTGTAGCCCCAGCTATCCTGGAACTCTCTATGTAGACCAGGCTGGCCTCGAACTCACAGAGATCCACCTGCCTCTATCTCCTGAATGCTGGGATTAAAGACTATGCCTGGCTTTCCATTGAGTGGGCTTTAAGTCCGATTAGGTAGCTGTTGATTACCTGCAAGATAACAGTGCTACTGTTATACCAATGTCCTTTGATGTGGTTTTTAGGCCTTGGAGTTAGGGTTGGACCATCCATTGATATACCAGCTTGAGTAGTGTTCTCCAAAGCTATGAGAGCTAGCCTTCAGGGGCGGTGGCTTCCAGGTCAGTTCTAGCTCCACTGCTCCAAATCCTAAGTCCAGAGTATGTCTTGTCTTCAGCAGTAGGGTCTTACCATCAAGCTGGGGGCAACCAAGGGCTGTGGCAATAGCTGGCACATGAAGATTGTGTATGTGTGTGTGTAGGTTTGGGTTTTTAAGACAGGATCTTGCTACGAAGCCTTTTCTTGATATCATACACACACACACACACACACACACACACACACTTAATTGAAGCTGAGGATGTTGACACAATTGTGAGCCAGCACCCAGGAGATTGAGTCAGGAGGATCTTGAGTTCCAGTCCAATATGGACTACACTGTGAGCCACAGCAATTCTGGAGGCATGCAGCCTCAGCATCAGTGTGGGCCAGGTAGGGTCAGGGCTTGGCACCTCCTTGTTTCTCCAGGCTTTTCCTCTCATGGTTACAAGGTTGCTACTTCAGCTTCAGACAGCACAAAGAAGGAAGGATCAACTCCAATGACACTCGTGTTTCAGTGCTGGACCACCTGAGCACTCCCAGAATCTTCCAGAAGATTCTACTTCTATCTCATTGGCCAGAACTATGTCACATTGCCTCCCCTCTCCAAGGCAGATGGGAAATTCAGCTTTTCAGTCTTTCCAGAGGAGGAGGCCAGAGAAAAGGAGACTGGAGAGAGTCAGGCGGTAAGACAGTCAGCAGTGATAGCTCCATAGGGAGAAAAGCAGTAATAATTGACGTTAATGGGAGCTGACTCTGTGCCAGGTCCTGCTGTAAGCACTCTCCGTGCATGAGCTCAGTCTGTCCTTGCACTAGCCCTGTGACATCACTGCTGTCATATCCCTGTAGTAATGATGCAGAAATTGAAGCACAAGGTAGAAAAGATGCTTACAGAGCAGCAGACCTGGGTGGGTCTCTTGCAGCCTGTCTCCAGAGCCCTGGCTCTCTGTACAGTGTGTTTCCTCACAGAAGGGCCTCAGTTGCCAGACTGCGCA